CAAAAAATTTTAAAAATCGTATATAAAATAAATCTAAATTTCACGATGATCCAATTTCACGATAATCCGTGACATTATTTAAAGAATTTGTCATATTACTTTATATACAGTGTTAGCTAATACAGTAATGTTAATAATTAACCTGAATTTTTGAGAGTTATTCTTGTGTTACCTATTAGTGTATGTGCGTTTATTGTATTGTTAATACAAAGGTATGTATTTTTTATACCCTAGTCACTATATCAAGATCGCAGGGCATAAATCAGTTATACCCTGGGCACTATGTGTATAAGCGGGAATTTCATCCCCGTTTATATCCAACTGCCCAGGATATAACTATTACCTATATTTAAATTGTCGGGTTTTCTTTTGGTGACACTCATATATACCTTGTACCCAGGTGTAAATCACCGTCTACCTGTTAAAACTTATTACGGGGTACACGGTATGGGGTACACAAGTCAGACTTTTACGGTATTTCAACCACTTTTCCCAATGAAGTTTGATCCGCTTAGTAATAAGGGATTGCTAGCATTAACTCTTCCAAACAATTGTGGTATCATCTGAAACTGGTCGACAACCAGGAAACCTTCGAATAACTGATCCGTAAAAATGTGAACATACTATTGGTTATGTCATGATGTACACAAGATATTAACAAAGTTTGATTATCACGATACGATGTGAACTCTAATCATCGTCCAATCAGCATAATAATGATCGATATGCGATTTTGTTACCGTTACTCCATGATAAAGCCATACTCCGAATAAGATCTTGTATTTTTTGCCACATACAATAGATCTGTAAGTATGGGTATTACGGCGAAGTTAAATAGAAAACATGTCATAACTCGTGATCTATCGATCTAAATCTAATGATTTTTGCAAATTCCAAGATAAATCAAAACGCCACTATCTCGGGGTATAAAAATTATTCAATTGATTGATGGACCAATACCCACACTTATCTTGTATTTCTAATTTGGCTTAGTGAAATAGTAGCAAATGGCAAAAGCTCCACAACTGTATGACAGCGCAAAAATAACGTATAGAGTTGACTGTAGTTTCAACAGAAAATAATACCAGTCTATAATGAGATCGCTAGTTAAGAATTAAACTTTATTTTTTAAACAATGAAATATAACAAAACACTATTCTTCGTATTAGCTAAGTACAATTTATAAAGAGTGAGTTATTTACCAGATACAATAGAATACTATGTATCAGCGAACCCTATTCTTATATGTAATTGTAATAATATAAAAATGAATTTCTAAGATAAAAAAAAAATAATTGGCTTCTTAATAAAAGTTACAATTCGACTTTTAATAAAAGCCTTTGCAATTCTAAAATTAATATATATAACATATGTGATGCAACTAAACCGCTTGCACCATAGCATGAATTGAAAGTTACAATAAATGATCTTTACATTTTAATAATAGGTTTAATACTCGATAGCTATAGCAGTCGTTTACAGTACGTATAGTAGTTACTGGATTATAGTAGTTACTGGATCAGTGGTAGTAGCAATGCAGATGTAGCATATGTAGTAGTTACTAGTTCAGTGGTTAGTTATAGCCATGGTAGAGTGGCAATTAATTTTTCGAGGTTTCCCGCCTTTATTAAAGATGTTTTAATGTGCATACGTTAATGAATTCACTTATCACAATAAAACTTTACAATATATGAAAGATTCAAATACTGTATTTTTTACATGAAAGAATCAATTAATGTGCGAATATATTAGCATTTAAGTAAAAATTTTCAATGTTTACCTTTGACAAATCATGGCAAACGAATTTTTATCTGTCATGTAGAATCGGATATTATCGTGATAAAGCCTCGATATACATGTGATGTTGATCCTACTATAAACAAATATCCTTCAGTAAAGGATTATGCAAGATCCATCTTATCGGGTTTGATAAAGTCGTGTGTGTGTCACATTGAAAAAATAATTATAAGCAACTATTGAACATCTTAATTTCGATTTTTACAACTCTTGAATTCTTGAAATATTTTGATCCATGTCTACATCTACTCAAAAAGGAGCCGAAAGACGTGAGTGAAGAATAATATCAAATTCATAATTTATCGATAATATAATCATTATTTAGAGTTTAATTCATATCAAAATTATTTGTCCATGTATTCTAGCTCTTCCTTTCTTGTTTCACTTTGCTGCTGGCGGTATTGCCGGTGTTAGCGAAATCCTTGTGATGTGAGTACTTTTGTATACTTAATAAATTTTAGAAATAAAATCTATAGCTAATAATTTTTTTTTTTTATAATAGGTATCCGCTTGATGGTAATATAAATTAATTACACTAATGCCACAATTTTTCGTTTATTTATTTATTAATAAATTTATTTTTCCAGTTGTGAAAACGAGATTTCAATTGCAAGTTAATGCTGCCGGCGGAGAAAAATATACCTCTGTGCTTGATTGCCTTCGGAAAATTGTCAAGAATGAAGGGTATGCCAAATATTGAGAATATTATATGCTTTGTGTAAGATGTCATGATTTTTCAAGCAAGAAATATAGATGACATAGGAGATGGTGTGATCTAATCTTACTGTGATGTAGAAGCCTTAAATTGACAATTATTTTTAATTTTTTATTTTTTAAATTTAGTTTCAGTCGTCTTTATAGAGGTATCCTTCCACCGATCTTTGTCGAGGCGCCAAAAAGAGCGATTAAATTTTCAGCGAATGAACAATATTCTACTTTATTAAAGAAATTTTATGGTGTGGATAATATGACACAACCATTGTCAATTGCATCAGGTATTTGTGCAGGTTCTACAGAAGCTCTTGCTATAGTTCCATTCGAACTTGTCAAGATTCGTCTCCAAGATAAAGCAAGTGTAAGTATTTATTTGTCCAATGTATATATAAATCGAAACAATATCATAAAAATCAAATCTGTATGCTTCAGGCTGGGAAATATCACGGCACATTCGATGCAGTAGTAAAAATTGTCAAAAATGAAGGTATTGATTGAGTGTTTGATTTTTTCTAAAAAATTATATTATTGAGTGCTGATTTCTAAGTAATATCATATTAGGTCCCTTAGCGTTGTATAATGGGCTAGAATCCACAATATGGCGTCATGCCACATGGAATGGTGGATATTTTGGAGTTATTTTTAATGTGAGAAGAATGCTTCCCAAACCGAAAGTTAGTATAAAAGTCCTTATATTTTTGTAAGAATTTTGATAACAACTTTATATCAAAAAAAAAAAAAAAATTTTTTTTATTTTATTTTGATAACATTTAGTCAAAACAGCAAACTTTGTTAAACAACTTTATTGCGGGAGGCATTGGTGGTACTGTAGGTACGATTATAAATACACCATTCGATGTGGTCAAATCGCGAATCCAGAATGATTCTGGAGTTGTGAAGAAGTATAATTGGACATTGCCGGCTATTAAGACAATAGCTGTAGAAGAAGGGTAAATTATATTATTATTTTACTTAATACTTAAGTTTTCTAAGACACAGCTATCCTCTTTAACACTAATCTTCTAATAAACTTTAGACCTAGTGCTCTCTATAAAGGTTTTGTTCCTAAAGTTCTTAGACTTGGACCTGGTGGTGGTATTCTTTTGGTTGTGTTTGATCAAGTGAGCACTTGGATGAGAAAATATTTAATATAGATATATCTTTACTAATATTAATTGCTTCTTAAAGTAATTGGTTTATTTTATAATAAAGTTTCCTTTAATGAAAGCCTCTAGGTTATACTACTGACAATCAGTAATATGGTGTAATTGTTGTAAGCACGTAGTAAGAAAATAAATTTTACACAGTAGATAAATAGTTCTTAAAACTATTGAAATCAATATGACAAAATCACAAAACTTGATTATGACAAAGCTTTGTTCTTTGCTTTCTATTTGGTCAAAGCTTTGTTATGAGCTTTGATCATCAGCCATATGCAAGAAAAAGCAATGTTTCGAACCCGACATTGCGTGCTTGAAGTTGCAACTTCAATTTACACCTGTCTAAAATAAATCTACAAACGGCTTACCATTATACTATACCGTATTATTCATTACGTTGGAGCGTTTATTTTTCTATAAAATTTTAAAAATTTTGTTAAATAAAAAGACTTACTAAAACGCACCTATGTATACATTATTACAAAAAACTAGCTAAATAGTCAGTATGAGGTATTCTAAGTAAAAATGTTCTACGCCCCTAAAAACCCTCCCAGACACTAACCCTAACTCTAAGCACTAACCCGAATGTAAAAAAAATTTATGCTAAAAATTTTATATACAAAACTTAGAAAAATGTAAAAAATATAATAAAAAAATATGATAGGTGTAAAAACACATAGGTGCGTTTTATAATATTTCAATAAAAATATAAGCGAATTTTAGTAGGTTTATAAAATAGGGACCCAAATTTCAATGCCACATTTAAATTATAATTTCTTGTCCAAACCTTTGTAAGAATCTATTCATTGACTGTACCAGCCCAAGCTGGTAAATTAGATTCTAATACTTAATATTTAGTATTGCATAACATATTTGTAATATTACCGCCGAATTGGAGGATATTACAAATATATTCGTTTTACATTTAGAACTTACTATATATCGATATAAGAATGAGATAACGATAAACAAATGTTTATCTGTTATTCACAGATTCCAGGAATAGACATATGATGAATTTAAATATTATTGATAGAAATTTATAATGCACAGTACGTTCTCCTAAAGGAATGATTTATTATTAAAAAAGACGCGTGACCGATACCTTCAGATTTTCTAAATCAGAATGATACACGTACGTACGTACGTACGTTCGCATTTTAAGAAATTTCTATTTATAACTATATATTTAAGTTAATGTTGGACTTTATCAACAACTGTAACACGTTCTATCCAGAAATATGCAATAAATCTTGTTTATATTGTGTAGCAAATTATTTACGTAAAATATGTATAATAAAGTACACAACGTGCTTAGGCGCCAAGCCTAACGCTGATATGCATGGCTGTGTATACTTGTGGGAATAAATGCAGGAATAACTAACAAATTTCGCTCATGTAACCTTTTTCTTTCTTGTGCCCACAAAAACTATTTGTTCAAAAAAAAAAAAGAACAAATTTCGTTTTCATTCTTTAACCTAATTCATTTTTCTCGTAAACCTTAATTCACCGTGACAGAATTTATTAGCAATTATGCATATTACCAATAAAACCAAAATATTTTTAGCAATTCTATTCATATTCATTCTGCACGTTAATACCGTTTATTCTCACAGAGATCATCATCATAATTATCGAAATAAGCACAAGAAACATAGAGACCATCATAAAGACCATCATAAAGACCATCATAATAAAGACCATTTTCATAAAGACCATCATAATAAAGACCATTTTCATAAAGACCATCATCATCACGGTGATATTGATAAACATGATAATGAAGGTTTCCATCACCCAAAGCATTACTACTTTCATCATTTTCATTATGAGCCTGATAGAAGAGATTCACAAATAGTTTGTGGTGACATTTGCGCTATAAGTTTACTATTACTGGTAACATTTTATATTGGTGCTTCGATATTTATTCTACGACACTATTTATTAGAAGGTAGGATAAGAAATGGAGGTTGGTCCAAATTACCGGATGTTGAAAGTGTGGATCATGACAAGGGTGAAAATTTTAAAGATTCTATAGATATTAAAGATGTGGAAAAGCATTAAGCATATTGTAAGATGTGGGTTAACGAATTATGAGTATTGTACAGTATTAATAATCCAATTTTTTTTTACATTTTATTCATCAAATTGTAATTATATATAGTATATATTTCTTTATTGAAACATATATATATGAACATTTGGAATATTTATGATTACAATTATCTATTGGGTGCTTAGCATTAATTTTTATAAATAAATATTATAGTTTGATTGTTGTTTATTTTTATTAGTAGGTTAGTTAAAATCTTATGATTTAATATTTTAATTAAATCATATTGCAAGAGTAGAGATTTAAACTATTATCTGTAATCTAAACCTATTAGAATGGTTAAAAAATGTGCAGAGTATCTATAGCAAAACCTTTATAAATACATACTCGGGACCAAACTTTAACAGTATACAATTAGAAAATATTAGAAAAAAAGTGCATTTACATACTTATAAAGAGTGTATGTATAGGGGTGTGGTGATATATATAGCGAAGTGGTAGAGTTGTTACCCCAAGTGGCAGGTTTAAAGTTCAAATCCCATGGATAATGATATCAAAAAATAAGCCTGTGTTTGGTAATGATTATTTGACAATTGGTTGGGGTTAAGAATTTGTAATCTTGGTTACACTATCTCATAATGAGAGCTTTGGTGTATAAATGCCAAAAAACCAGGATGATTGGAAAGACTCAAGTAAGGAGGTAGCCAAAACCTTCAACAGTATTATAGAAAAGGCTGAATTTAGAGGTTGGGACTAAGACCAAAGAACTAAACAATAGTAGATTCTTAAGTAAGAAGATTAACCAACTAGATTGTTAATTTGAAAAAACTAGAGATTGATAGAGATATACTGGTGCATACCAACCAGGTCACCAGTGTAGAAAATCAGTAGCAGGGGCCCTACTCTAGCAAATCTATAGATTGAAAGTTTTGAGCCAAATAGTATAAGACAAAAAAATATGCTAGTTATTCTTGAAAACCAAAATTCCGGATCAGAGAAAAAGGATATATGCCAAGAAATTATATACCAAGATAAGACAGGCCAAAAGCACTTAGAACCAGGCTTGAATTAAATCTTTTAGGTTGTTAGTTAGAAGTAAGAAATAGATTGGTAAAGAAGTTATGAAAAAAAGAAGTTTGAATATAGGTACTGGGATGAAAAGTGAACTTTATAAAGGCACAGTGGTTACTAAACTATACTACAGGCAGAATTTTTAGAAACTGCACAAGACTAGATTAGCTAAAATAGGATACAAAAGGCTCTGGTAGATTTATCTCAAAAATATCTATGTATCTATTTAACAGAGAAATGCAAGCCAATAATTAGTTGGTGCAAACCCAGAATAAAATATAGGCATTCTAGAGCAAGGGTGCAAAATCTAGTTCAGCTATCAGGTAATAGTATACAGGTTATTAGAATATTACTATATAAATAGTTAAGATCAGAAAGTTTAAATAGGTAGTTTTAAGTTTGGGCTACAGATACAAGCATCTAGTATGGATAGTGCCAAAAGCACAGTTGTTAATTGTAATTTCATTGTAACTACAGTCAGAGCATATACTATATCTGGTTATTGCAGATTATACTTTATTTAGCAATGATTATCTATAGGATTGTTTTAGATTTTTTCTAGATTATTCCATATGCTATAAAAATTGGCTAATAAAAAACAGAAATACGATTATATAGCTACAGAAACACATATATATATATATAGTATATTTTTAATGTTAATAGTAAGACCCTGCTCTTATCTTTATTAAATTTAATCAAAAAATTAGAAAAAATTTTATTGTATAAATCTAATGCTAAGAATAAGAACTTAGACTAACTAAGAATACCTAATAGATAACCTAGTTTTTTATCTGTAGTCTAAACCAACCAGAGTGGCCAAGGTACATCTAGATTTGGGTGTTAATAATAATATAAAATAGGTGTATTAGATATTTTATTTAGTAAGTATATCATGTTTCTATTTTATATAAAGAGTTAATTAAGATAAATTCAGTAGTTGTCTAAGTAAGAGTATTAGATACATCAGAGAAATATATAAAGGAGATAAAGATAAAGTTGTAGCCTGTATTTGAGATCTTGATATGCAGTAAAGAATCCATATTTTGTATATATTTGGTGATTAATTTCAAGGAGAAGTTAGATAGTGAGAGATGTCGCAGTTTTACTTGATGTAATATAATTGTTTAGTGTGTTAATAATATCAAGTAGCACCAAGCCAGAGAGTATAAAAAATAAAGAAAGTTTGTAAGTAAGTTGATGAGCTTGAAGACTATTGAGGTTTACATTGAGAAATTTAATAAATCAAATGAAAATCTGCGCAAAACTTCAAAATTTATACTATAAATGCAGAAATTAGATACAATTCTGTGCAAAACTTCAAATTCTAAAAAATTTTGCAGATTTTTTACAACAATTTTTCAAAAATCTGCAAAAATACAGATTTTTGCAAATTTGCACTTATTAAATTTTCCCAATGTAGAATAGAGAAATGGAAATTGTGTGCTTGGAAGTGTGAGATTTGAAGCTTGTTGTGACTTAATATATGTTGTAAAGAGCTTTAAATTAAGTTAAGTAGGCTCAGAAGATGGACAGAATGCCCAGTAAAGTGAGTTGCTTTCTTATTGACATAGATAGCATTTGTTGAAGTAAGAAAGATTTCTTTTGTTGAAAATATTAGGTGTTGGTAATTTATTTAAAAGTAGTTTAACTCTAAAAGATTTATATATAGAATTGGAAGTTGTATAAAAAATTAAATATTTTTTAATTATTATTAAGGTAGAGCCAGGTTGCTTGCTAGTAAACTAAAGAGGCAATTGAAATCTATTTTTTAAACTGATTTTTTTTTTTTAAAAAAAAATTTGATGGCCATGTCACATGCCTGCTTTATTGATGAGGTACTACATTTCTCGAAGGAATTGTCTGAATTTCATCATGCTTTATAGCAAAAAATCTGGAAGTAGCTCACCCAGTTTCCAATTGGACCTATGTGTGACCTGCCAAAGATGAGTTCAATCTCCCTGGTTAGGTTCGGCTTACTTCACTTCAACCAACCTATTCCCAGATCACTGACTTGGTTTACCAGCCTGTTATGACTGTCTTCTTTCCCAACCTTCTTCTCTTAGCCTCCTAGGTAGAAGAACTACCAACAAAAAACAAAAGAAAAGAGAAAAAGTCTAAACTAAATGAAACTAAAAAAAATAAACAAAGTAAAAAAGAAACAAGAAAAAAAAGGCTGAAAAAAAGACAGCCAAGACAACACTATTATTGCCTGTATTAGGCTATAAAAATTATATAATATTGTATAGAAAAAAAATCTAATCTAACACTATATATATTAAAAGAAGTAGAAAGAAAAAAAACGTCTAACATTAAGAAATTTTTACACATGATCTCTCTGATCCCCTATACTATAAACAGTACCGCCGTCATTGTTTATTTGGCAAAGCAGAATCCAAATAAGCTTGTGGGAGGTTCCATTTCAGTAGACGCATTCTAATTTGGAAGAAGTAAGCACTACCAATCTTTTGAAGAGGATATGCTGATTTTCCCACTTTTTGGCCAAAATTTCTAAAAAAATTCCAAAACTGCAAGAATATATTTGTAGATATATGGTTGTGAATACTTTTAAAATTTTAAAGAGTGTGTTGAACTACTGGAACTTTGTTGTTTCCCCTGTGTTCTTCTTTGAAGTAACAGCTAACTTGCTTTATTGCCAAAAATAAGCGAGTTTATCATTGCACTTCACCAAGATTTTTTATACAAGGGCACTACCTGCCAGTTATCTTGTATAATAATGCTCCTGGCTTGCATGCTGAACGTCTACTTTAGAGGAGTTACTTAGAAAAGCAGTTGATCTCTAGACAAACTGCAAGGAGGCCACATCTCTTCAACAAAAGTTCTGTTTTCCGTTTATTAAATTTTAAGTACAAGTAATTATCAGAAAGAGTTATTATCTAAACAATAATTTTTTGGAACCGATTTTGAAAAGACCAGTTAGTGAAAATATATATATAATATATTGTTTTGATGCTGTGATATATAGAAAGTTCAATTAGAAGGTTGTTAGAGCTAAAAGCAAATAAAGGATTATATATGCTAGTTGTGTTGAAGATAAGGTGTTGTGCTGCTAGTAATTTTGGGCCAATTAATCAGCCATGTTGTTGAAAATATTATCTTGATATGCATTAACTTTGTGAAATATAATATTCAGATTGTGAGATTTGGAAAAGTTTATAAGAGTATTTTAGATAGACTAGTAAAGTGTATTTATAAGGTTTATAGTATGAATATTATATAAAAGATTTTGAAATTTTGAGATTACTTATTAAAAATTAGTAAAGATTTGTATAGTGCAGTTTCTAGAAATAGTGCAGATAGTTGATACTATTGCTATAAGTTCTACCAGAGCCAGAGTTTAATTTTTGCTTAAAAGGTATAAACTACAGTTTGGGTTTGTATTTGTATCTATCCAATGTCCATAGAGCATAGCATAGCAGAAGTTCATTTTAATTGATTGTTAAGATACCCAAAAAAAATAATAATCATATCCCGGATATAATCTCAAACAAAAATTTTATAACTCCAAACTTTTAAAAAATTTAGTTAAAAGACATTATAAATTTATATTATACTAATTTAGTTTTATATTAACAACTTTAATTTAGATTTTACAAAAGTTTTGTTATTTTTTTCACAATAAATACATATAAATATCTACTAAATAACATGTATATGATCATTTCTAATACTACTATTACTATCACTTATTGTATTATAAATATCATATCTACAAAGTATACTTGTATCTAAATAAATTATAATCAAAAATATTAAAA